GTGGATTCTTTATGCTACAAAGCTGCAAGACCTCTCATTGCCGGGAGGATGGAGTGATTGAAATGTTGGATTATAGCCATGAATACATTCTTGACATTAGGAAGAATTTCCTGTATACCTGCACAACTAGTGATGTGTTTGATGTTGACTTGCAAGTCCTTTCGTAATTTTTTGCAGCTTGTACTTCTTGATTGGTACTGTCATGAATTATGTATTTGAACTTTACCCTTGATGCGGTCTTTTTGTTATTTTTTTTATTTTTGCAGGTGAGTGGCTGGATCTTGATGAGCATGACTACAGGATCTTTGGCAGCCAGTTCTCGAAGCTCGAGCGCATATCTAGTGATCTTAGCCAGGGGCGTTCTCCAGAAAAGACAAGGTCTGGTGTTATTAAGGGGCGGTTGGGAGCTCTGAAAGGTTCTATGGCTGCTTGTGCAGAGAGCCCCTCTACACCCAAGAATCCCATTGTGGAATTGATAGACAGCGGTGATGATGCATTTGACAAGATTGCTGGCATGGGAAGAGTCACCAGGAGCGCTGCTGCTGCCAAGGGTTTATCCCCACTTGCTCGAATAGTGGCCCATAGAGCTGGTGGTGCTAGGAAGGATCCTGCTTTGTATTCTGGCAATGTTACAAGCACGAAGCATGCACCCAAAGCTCCTATAAAGTTTTGCTCCCCTGTGCAGCAGCTTCACCCTCATAAATTCCCTCACCTAGAGAAGGCTCGCAAGTTGTATAATCTGTTGCTTAGCGATGAAGCATGTGAGAAGTATGCCGAGTGAGTATCTCTCATTATGTTTCCTCTTCTTTTTCCTCTATTGTTTGTAACTGCTAGATAAATGTGACATGAACTGTTACATTTTATACAACTTGAACTGCTATGAATGCTTTATCTTGCTTCCCCTGCTTTTTGTTCTTGTCCGTGCTGCAGGAATACATTCTCAATGATACCTCAGCCCGATGATAGCGTAACCAGCTTCACTGGAAAACGCATCTGGGAAGTTTTTGCACCTGGGAAAATGATGGAGGGTGATGTAATGGACTTCCTCGTTGATGATTGGAAGAAAGATCCCGATAGAAATGTTGATTTTGCGTCTGGGAAAAGGGTATTGCTGAGTCCATATTTCATCACGGTAACCAATCAGATCATTTGTTTCTGTTAAACAAGACCGCCTATTTGTTTTACGAGTTTTGATAATACTTTGCTTTGTTTATCCTTTTCCCCTGTCTATTTCTTTTTTGGCTTTTCTTGCAGGTTGTGCTTGACTGTACGTTTTACGGTGATGAAAATAAAGAGTTTAATGTGAAGAGTGCATCGAGAGATTTCAAGAGCTATGTTAAAGATAATGAAGACTTGCTCAGTGCCGACCTTGTGAGATCTACTAGCTGATTTTTGGTTTTAATTGTTTGTTGTCATGCTGGTTTTTATTTTGAATATTTAACATCTCTTTTTTGGTCATCTGTTTTTAGATCATGATGCCTCTATTCAAGCCTATGGTTTTGCCAAAGGATAAGAAAGTGAACCACTTTTCCTTATATGTCATGAATCAGTACCGAAGTAGCGTCGACATCCTTGACTCTTTACCTTATTTGAAGAACCTTCGTCCTTCAAAGAACAATTATCATAAAGACTGCGACAAGAATGTGAGTGACATTTATTATCTGTACTGGATTAATTTTTCCGCATATTTGTTTCTGCTTTTTATTAGACCTGAAAATGTGTGGGTTTTTTACAGATCTCAAGGATGGTCCAAGTAATGAAGGCTGTGTATGGTGATGCTCAGTACAATGCTAGCAAGCAGCCCAAATGGGAGCTTTTTGCAAAGAAACCAACATTTGTGAAGGTTCCACTTCAAGGGGCAAATGAATATGGCCATTATACTCTGCAGTATGCAGGATCCTATGATGGTGAAAAGATCGTTGGGAACATTCAAGATAATGATGTGGGTTCTAGTTGAGCTTTTCACTTTTCTGTGTTTGGCTGATTGTGTATTCTTCTTTTTAATGTGTCATGATTTTTGATAATTTGTTTTATTGTTTTGCAACCTCATATTGTTGATTGGAAGGTTGATGATCTGTATAGAGTTGTGTTCAACCGGAATAACCAGCTTCTAGTGACGGAGCTTCCCAAGGAGTTTCAGCCTTTGGCTCCTGGTGCATGGAAGAAATGGTCATCATTCGCATAGTGAAATGGATAGTTGTGTGATATATCTCTTGAAAGCATTGTAGGCTTTGATTGTAGTGTTTGGATGTCTTTGATTTTTGATAGTTGTGTGATATATCACTTGTGTATGTTTCATTGGGAATTCGTTCTGGTTAAGTTCTATTTTTTGTACTGAAGTCTTGTTAACTAGTTAAACTGAAAACACGTTTTCCCAAGTTCATTACGAGTTGTTGCTGGAAAAGTGAGATTTATTTTATTTTCATCTGTCCCAACCTAGGTTGGACCTTTATAGTTTCTGTACCCTCTTTTCTTGTACTTATAGTATAGTTATGTTAGTACTGAATTATAATGTCGTTTAGTGTAAGGCTTTTAAAATTTGGTGTCACGATGGCACTTGTGGATCTAGCGTGAGTGGAGTGACGCTTCCCTGTTATGTAGAACTTATTTCATATAATGTATTAGAACTGAAGTTTTTTTGGATTTAAAATATTTACGACCAAGTTGTTACGTGATCTCTATCCAGATTTTATTTAAGTATAAGAAATTTAGCAAAATTTGAGAGCCAAATTCTTGTTTGAACTTCTTGAATTTTAGTAGTTGAACTTCATAGTAAAAGTTGAAGCACTAGTTGAAATTAGCTACATTTAGCAGATAGACGTATAAAGTTCATAATGACTTCACTAGTCAATGTGGGTTGATGCTTCTGTTGTTTGTTTTTTGTTAATTTTTGTCCTCGGTTTAACTGTAATCTATTTGGTTGAGTCTTGGCCTTCTTTCTCAAGGCATTAATTGGTATCATCATAGCACTTACCGAATAAACTAAGTTGTACTAAGATTTCAATTGTGCTGGTACTTTGATCATTTTATTTTCTGATGTTGTTTGAAGCTAGTGCCTCACTGGTCAATGTGGGATGATGCTTTTGTTGTCTTTCTTGTGATTTTTCTCCTTGGTCGAACTGATATCTTTTTGATTTAGTTTTGGCATTCTGTTTTCTAGGCCGTGGTTCTTCCCAAGGCAATGTTTTGGTATGATCATAGTACTTGCCTTATAGACTAAGTTGTACTGACATTTCGGTTTTACTATTACTGTTATTCTTTAGTGTGTCAATGTTTTTTGGAATGTGAACTGAAGCTTCATGTTCCATTTTATATTTTGTAGAATGAATGTACCGTTTTGTTCAAGTGTACCAGAACTCTCAGTCCTAGCATGCTAGTGACTAGGAAATACATACTGATTCTTCTTTGCTTTTCCTGTTGCAGTACTCAGTAAATTTCTAACTACTATTGGCACGATGCTGTTAGTAGTGAATGTTGTCCTTGGCTGAAACTTAGTCTTTTTAGTGTTCTTCTGAAACTAAAAACTGATTTCTTAGTGTGATAGTACTACCGTAAATGTCTAAGCTGTACTGAGCGTCCAATTCTACTATTTGATGTTGTCCTTAGTTAGTCCGCCACTGTTTTTGTTTTGTTGTGAAAATATCCATGTGTAATTTTTGTTTCTGCATGACTAGTGCTGCGTGGCAGCCATCAAGTCTCAACTTCAATCTACTTCAACTTCAAATGATTGATGAACAAAATAGGAAGCTAGCAAACTTGTTGAATGACATAAGCAAATGATGTACATGATAGACATAGGAAAACTTGTTCAAACCCTGACACACATAACATAAGGTACCTGATTCAACATAACGAAAGCAAACTACAAATCTGAAACAACAATATTAAGGATAGGCAGAAGTGCGAGCAACACGAATGCAGACTTCCATGCATCTTCATCCCGCGAAGTTGCAGTGGTAGTAGGGGTCAGCCTCGTGCTCTTTTGAAATATCCCAACCTGTCATGATGTTGTCGATTATCTTCCATGACTTGTATTTGGCGTACGCATCTCTTCCTGCGTACGTGATGAGGTTGTCTGGCAGTGGGCTAGTCCCCCACAGTTTGTGTTCTCCCTTGTCCATCTTCTTCTTCGTGCCTTTGTAGGATGGGTCTTTCTACTTGCGCTTCATGTCGATGAAGTTGTTGGGGTTGATCTCCAAACCAGACTTTTCCAGCATCCGCTTGTCACCTCCAATGTTGAAACCGACAAATGTGTACAATTTCTCCTCCTGCAGGAACTGTTTGAGGCGTTTGGGCCTGCAAGGGGGGAGACACATATTGAAGGTTAGTGTTCTTTTTTGAAGATTTAATTCTTCTGCTTTTTGGTTTTGAAAGTGATAATCCATGAGGTAGATGCTTTATATAGTATAAGTCATGGATGAATGTAGTCCAGAAACTAGTACACAAAGTCCTGAAATTAAATTCAAGTACACCATGTAATTTTTCTTTTTTGCTATCTTCACTGCTTCACCAAATTCAAGAATCATTTTACCAGATTCAATGATATATGTGTTGGTTGATTCAAGTTTAGTTTTATTTTTTGTTGAATAAAAGACCTATACCAGTGCTTGATACATCTTTGTGCATCAATTCTATATCAAGTTCAGAAATTAATTTGGGAAACATGTGCATCAAGATATGGACCTATACCACTTCACCAAACATCTTTTAATACATCAATTCTATACACTATACTAGTGCATCAAGATCAGAATCTATGCTAGCACATCAAGTTTAGAAATTAATTTGGTGCATCAAGTTCAGAATTCTATAAACATCTTTTCAGATGCTAATCTGGTGAAACAATCCACTTCATAGTTTCAGAAATGCATGTAAGTTGAGAAACATGTACTCGTGCATCCACTTCACAAACTATAGTAGTTCATCTAGTTGAGAAACTAGTTTAATGAAGTTTTTAGTGAGTAGTACTAGTACAACAGATGAATGAACAGTTGTATGGGTTACCATTTTGTGGCTGCTGCGATGTGGTACACCAAGCAGAGTTCCTTGACGCACAACTGCAGGACTACCGCCATCTGTGGAGGTTCATCGTCGCTGGTGAACTCCACATCAACTCCGATGAAGCTCGGATACAAGCCGCCGCCCTTCATCCTGAGCCTGCTCATCACCTCGTCGGCCTTGTCTGGTTTGCTGGTGCAGATGATCTCCAGCGTCTCTTTGCCGTGAAGCTCAACCCCTGTGAGGGTTCTCGTGTACTCGTGCTTCTCGCCGGGGACATGAACGTCGACGAGGTTGCTGCTCTTGTCCGACGGCTCGCCATGATGACGCTTGGCGGACGGTTCCTCCGCCATCGCCTTCCTCCAGCGACTGTGGGCTTGGGAGAGAGAGTTTGTGGTTTGTGTGTAGTGGAGATTGAAGCAGCAATGGTGGTTTCGGGCAATGAGGCAGAGATGGAAGACAATGGGTTATTTTGCAGTGCGTCGATGGGGATGTGTGGGAGGCGGTTCGTCAGGGGCGTGGGTGTGGTGGTCGTGGGGGGTCCCCGTTTGCAGTCCCTTGTGGCAACCGCTCAGTGGGTGGCGCGGGCGGTGGCTTGGAAGAAGAAACTGTCCAAGTCAAATGGTTTTAGTGCTGCACTGACTAGTCTTGTCAAGCTGTACTTATGACCTGCTAAATCCCACTTGCATGTCTCATGGGTGGTGATGATGGCATTTTGGACTGTTTAGGTGACGTATGTTTTTGTGATGTTTTTCCGTGTGGATGTTAAGTATTGTTTTTCCACTGAAGTCTTATAGACTAGTTTATCTCAAAACATGTTTCAGTGCCCTGGGAGTTGTTGCTCAAAACTGGTACTTATTTTATTTTCATTTGTACTTACCTAAGTTAGGCCTTTATAGTTTTTGTATTCTCATTTTAGTGCACTTATGGTTTAGTGCTATGTGAACTGAAATGTAATTTCATACAGCGTGCGGTTTTGAAATTTGGTGTCATAGTTTGTGTGAGTGGCCTGACTGATCCTGCTTTTTAGTACTGATGTCACATGTATGTTTGAACTGAGTTTTTTTTTGTTTTTTGGGTGGTTTTGGGGATTGAGATTATTTTACGACCAGATCGTTCGTTGAGGTGTGTACTGATTTTATATAAATTAGAAATTTAGCAGAATTGACAAATAAATTCTATTTGAACTTCTTGCATTTTAGCAGTTGAAGTAGTTAGAATTTATATAAATAAGAAATTTAGCATAATTGACAAACATTATATACTTGAACTTCTTTTATTTTAGTAGTTGAACTTGTCAAAATTTATATAAATAAGAATTTAGCATAATTGACAAACATTATATGTTTTGAACTTTTTGCATTTTAGTAGTTGAACTTGAAAGTAATATTTAATTCAGTTTTTAAATTATGTACATTTAACAGATAGGCTATTAAGTTCTCTTCCTTTTAGAGGTTCATTGTTTTTGTATCATATTTTCTCCTTTTTTTATCATCCGTGGTGCAGAGCTAAAATTATTTTTGTTTTTATTTTTTGTATTTAAATTTATTGCCTGCGAACTATTATTTGATTTTATATATTTTCAGTTTTGAACATTTTTCTTGAAGTTTATATTTCTTTGCCTCGCTCTCTGGTTTGTTTAACTGGGCTTATTGGTGGGGTGTTTGTAAACGATGCAGGCTATTGGGCCGTTTTCCGGCCCAGATAGCTCGTCCGCGCGGCTGTGAAGTGCGGTGTGCGCATGCGCTCTGGGTTTAGTCCCACCTCGCTAGTCGAGGGGGCTCCGGACCTGTTTATAAGTGCAGCCGAGGCTCACTGGTCGAACTCCTCTGAATACTTACCTGAGCGCTTATACACGGCGCTCGCTCTCTCTCATGACCTGTGGGCCCTGATCGGTGGGCGCTGCATTGTGCGGATTAGTAGGGATTCGCCTATGGGCTCGAGTTCAAGTATCTAGCAGCGCCAAGGCCTGCGCCTGACCTTGGGCGGTCAGTTTTTTTCTTTTTTTGTTTGTTTGAATCTAGTACTTGACTCCACCAGTAACTTGGACTGAAACTTTTTGTTCTAGTTCTTGTCAGTTTTGTGTAAGTGTGATTTTAAGATGTACTTGCGTGTAGACTAAGTTGTACTGATAGTCCATTCATAGTAGCGCTTACGGACTGATGCTTCTATGTACTTTTTATTGTAGTAAGTATGTACTATCCGATCAAGTGTACTAGTACTGTGATTCTTAATCTGCAAGCGACCAACATAAGTGTGTGCCGATGCTTCTTAACTTTTTCTATTTGTGGTACATGTTAATTTTCTAGTAGCTACATATAAATGAGAACACTACATGAAGTACTAAGAATTTTTGCTTCAACTTTTGAAGCGTTGTTAAGCAACTCAAATTGTGCTGATTGTTCTCAACGTTATGTTTTCTATACAATACTGAATCGAAACTAGACATGGAACAACGTTGTGTGATTAGTTGCATCATAACTAGTACTTTAGAGCAGCCACAAAGTTCCATTCAGAAGCTACTTTTGAATTTGAAATGATGGATTAACAACATACGAAGCTACCAAACTAAACTTATATAATGAGATAAGCAAAACATTGCACTTGATGACATAAGTAAACTTGTTCAACCATGACAAGCACGACATAATCATACTGGTTCAACCCAACAAGAGCAAATTAGTAATTTGAAACAACAATATAAAAGGTAAGCACAAGCAGAAGTAAAACGAAGGCAGGCTCTGATGTATCTTCATCCCTAAAAGGGGCAATAGGGGTGGTCGTAGAATTTCGCAGCCTCCCGCTCTTTTGCAAATTCCGAACCATCTGCAATGTAGTCGATCATGCTCCATGCCTTGTACGTGGCATCTGCATCTACTCATGCGTACTCGATGAGGTTTTCTAGCAGCGGGCTGGTCCCCCATAGTTTGTAGTCTTCCTGCGTGTTGATGTTCTTCTTCATGCCTTTGTAGAATGGGTGGATGACGCTGGCTGCAACATCAGTCAAGGAGTCATACTCTTTTCCAGTGTATGAAACTCTCCACTTGCGCTGAATGTCGATAAACTTGTTGGGGTTGATCTCCAAACCGGACAACTTCAGCTTCTCTTTGTCGCTTTCAATGCTGAAACCGGCAAATGTGAACAACGTCTTATGCTGCAGCAACTCGTTCAGGCGCTTGTGCCTGCAAGGGGAGAGACATTTTTTGAAAATTAGCATTACTTTGATGTTTGAATTATTCATTTTTGTTTTGTTTTACAAGCGATGAATCCATGAAGTAGATGTTTATGTAGCATAAATAATGGATGAATGTACTTCAAAAACTAGTAAACAAAGTTCTGAAATTAAATTAAGTACATCATGTTATTCTTCTTTTTGGATTATACATAGTTTCAGTCAATGTTGTATGTTCTGCTTTGGTACTAGTTCAGTTTACTTTTGTTGAATAGGATAACACATAAACAGTGCTTCACCAAGTCCTTAGTTAATTTTATTTTGAAAATAACATTAGATCAAATTCAGAAAATACTTCACTACATCAAGTTCAGAAACATATTTTTAATACATCGAGTACATAAACTACACTATTGGATCAAGTTCAGAAACTATACTAGTCGACCAACTTCAGAAATTAATCTTCCGCAAGATTTTACAAATAGTAATCCGGTGCATCAGGTTCAAAAATACATTTATAGTGTATCTACTTGAGAAAATGCAGTAGTGCATCCACTTTTCACAAAGCACACTAGTACGTCTAGTTGGGAAACAAGTTTGATGAAATTTTGAGGATACGGTACTAATAAAACAGATAAACCAAACAGGGCAAATGAGTAGTATGGCTTACCATTTTGTGGCCGCTGCAATGTGGTACACCAAGCAGAGGTCGTCGACGCACAACTGCAGGACTGCTACCATCCGGGGAGGTTCATCTTCTCTGGTGTAGTGCACACCAACGCCGATGATCCTACGAGTCATGCCGCCAGCCTTCCTCCAGAGCCTGGAGATCACCTCGTCGACCTTGTCTGGTTCGCTGGTGCAGACGATCTTCAGCGTCTCCTTGCCGTGGAGCTCACCCCCTATGAGTGTTGTGGTGTACTCGCCCTTCTCGCCGAGGACGTGAACGTCGACGAGGTTGCTGCTCTTGTCCGACGGCTCACCTTTATGACGTTTGGCAGACGGTTCCTACGCCATCGCCCTCCTCCGGCGGCTGTGGGCTTGTGAGAGAGAAGTTTGTGGTTTGTGTGCAGTGGAATTGGAAGCGGCAATGGTGGTTTGTGGGAATGAGGGAGAGATGGAAGATAATGGGTTTTTTTGAAGTGAGTCAACGGGGATTTGTGGGAGGCGGTTCATCGGGGGCGTGGGTGTAGTGTGTGTAGTGGCGTGGGGTCGCCGTTTGTAGTCCCTTGTGGCAACCGCTCAGTGGGTGGCGCGGGTGGTGGCCTGGGAGAACTAACTGTCCAAGTCAAATGTTTTTTTACTGCTACACTGACTAGTTTTGTCAAGCTGTACTTATGACCTGCTAAATCCCACTTGCACGTCTCAGGGGTGGTGATGGTGGCATTTTACTGTCACACTGATTCGTCTTGTCAAGCTGTACTTATCGGCTGCTTATCCCACTTGCACGCGTCAGGGTTGGTGATGGATGGAGGTCTGTACTCCTCTACTGTGGTACTTGGACTGGTGATTGAAATGTAACTGAACTTACCAAATACCAGTGAGACTATATGTGATGCTAATGTTTTTTAAAACATTTTTTGTATTTTTGAAAGGATTGTTTATATCAAGATAATCTGTGAGTATTTTTTACAGATAAATTAGATTTTCATCAGTACAGAATGTATTATATTCGCATTTTGCTTGAGGTAATTATTTTTATGTACTGATGGTCTTTCTGAATTGGGACTGGCAGAAGCAGACATAGCTTTGTTTTTTTCAAAATGATGTTTTTTTGGAGGTGTTCATAGGTGTGTTTGTTTTACTCTGCCTTTGTACTGACGAGTGAGAATTATCAGTACTGATGTACTATAAGAGTTTAAATTTTCCTTAACATATTTTTGCTGAGTTACTGGTCGACAGTAGTGTTTTCGTCAGTACAAATGTATTTGTGACTGCATTCAAAAGGATTATCAAATGGTTTACATAATAATGTCACTGCTCCAGTGAGCACAAATCACAAATTATATCAGTACTGATGTGTACTCTGCCTTTGTACTGACGACTGAGAATTATCAGTACTGATGCATTATAAGAGTTTAAATTTCCTTTAACATATTTTTTGCTGACTTACTGGTCGACAGTAGCGTTTGTGTCAGATAAATCCAGATAAGTGTTTTCAAATGTATTTGTGACTACATT